TATCGCTACTGCCTAGAAAAGTATCTGTCATGTAGTAGAAGCTCAATAAATACCTGTGAAATTTTAAAAATGAAGTGAAATTTTAAGTACATTAAAGAAGTTTCCTTTACTTTCTATGTCATTAGACCTATATTCTCAGTCAAGTCCACAGCAGTTTCTCTCAGCTTGCATTCTGGATACATGGGCAAATAAATCCTCTCTAGGTTTAATTCAGTTCTAGCTCATACCTGCGCATCTAAAGGACAGCACACCACCACCTGTGCTCTCCCTGAGCTCACAGGATTTACCTGGTCTGTGTTTTTTCTTAGACACAAAGATCCTGGCTCATCTCTTCCTGGTTTCAAACCATCCTGGCCATGCTCCAAGTCCTCTATCCTTATCCCTAAAATGTCTCCATTTTTTTTATGAACCCTCATTTTTTTCTAAGGGTATGACTCTGGCCTCCTTTTCTCCCACAAGCCCCACATTCTGTCCTATGGCTTCTAATCTCTAGCTCTCGCCTACTTCCTCAGGGTCTCAGCTCCTACACCAGTGCTTTTCTCATTTTTCTTGTACCCCGGAAACACTCTGTTCAAATAAGTATTTTGTTATGTATAAACGGGTACAACAAATTGTGAGGGTTTGTCTTGAGAGTGTGAAGGCCTGGCTAAACAGAGCCCTGTCACTGGCATGTACAAAGTGGTCTTTGAAAACCACTGCTCTGGCTTAGTCCACCTTCTCAGACAGACCCAGAGCACAAATATATGAGCATATTTTGTGCTCCTAACCTACAGATTTCCTACAACAATCAGCCTTGATAAACTGAAGAGCAGAGAAAGGGCAGCTTTGAGACCAATTCCAGTTTATCCCTAAAGCAGAGTTCAGAGACTCTTTAGAAGGTGGATGATTACTTAAGAAAAATAGCTCATCATTCCTTTCAGTGAATCAATCAACATACAAGACCTCCTCCTATTAAGTAGCTGGCTGGTTCCATTTAAAAATCCCATGAATGGGTTGATTTTTTGTATAAGCAGTGTGTGTCTTTCACATTGCTTTCCTAGCATAGAACTTCATACCCCTGTGAGGGATAGAATTGTTTCACATCTCACTACTTCTATCCTTTGAAAGAGCAGTGCGTCCTTAAGTGATCTCTTCCAATAATCAGAATATCTCGGATATCCAGTTCTATCTCTTTAACAACAGAGATTCAGCATGAAAAGCTCCTTGATTGACCCATTTGAGAACAATTCCTTCTACCATGACATTTAAGAAGTTCTAATTATTTCCTGGGAAAGGAAGATTTACACAAGAACCACACAAATAAATCCAAACTGGTAAGACATAACAATTTGCTAGTGTACATATTTTATCAGTATTTACACAGATGTCTATACAGTCTTCTGCCTGATATTTGGCCTGTACAACAAGGACTTGGCAGTTTTAGAGTATAAACCCCTGGGAAAAGATGGTGTTTATTATTGTTTGGCAACCTGTGTCATATGCAGGAGCTGGCTTAATTAATATTTTTAAATGGGATTTGCTCTCTAGATTATTTTGTAGAAAAAGCACCATCTAGAAGGAAAGACAGATTGGGAAACAGAAGACAGGATCAGGGTAAGGTGGGCTACAGTAGCTATTTCTGCTCATCTTCTCATAACAGAGCCCTCTATTCTGTTTCCTCTTGGCCTCTTCCTGAGCCACAGAGATGGGTTACCACTGCCAACTGGTTTTTTCAGAGAACCTGGTTCCCTGGACATGGTACTCAGCAGGAGAGGAGCAGTTGGCTCACTCAGGGCTAATCAGTCCTTTCTTCAGAAACTGACAGACATTAGAAAGGATGAGATTTCTTTATTTTGGAATGGGAAGCTGCCAGTGGTTATCCTTCATGGACAATTAGTGCTGGAGAAGGAAGTCAACACAGAAGAAAGTAAAACTTTGAAAATGGGGAAAGAAGAAAATAGATGACTACACTGAAACCCTAGAACCAGCTGCACCTGATTCCCTGGAACTTCAGTCAGGCAAGAAGCAAAAAAACACTTCTTATAATATTTAAGTTAATCAGAGCTGGTTTCTATTTCTTATAATTAATGTTCCTAACTAACATCTGGGTCTTTCAGTGTGTGACTTCAGCATGCCATTCTATTTCTTTGAGCCTCCATTTCCCCATTTGTAAAATGGGGGTTGAATGAAATCCTCTAATATCCCATTTGCCTCTTAAATTATGTGCATGAGCAACCTTAACTATTAAAGAAAACATATGATTTTGTCATGTAAAAAATATAAGAATATCTATCTTTGGTTTTCTATTGTTTTAGGGCATGTTTCCTCTTCAGGTGAGAGAGAAAGTGAAGAAAATGAAAAGGAACTGAGGGATTTAAGTTTAGAATGATAATCAGAGGGATACAATATGTATTTCTCAAAATATAACATTTAAAACTGCCAAAAGCACAAAAATTCTGCCTTTTGAAAGGCACAAAGAACTTTTAACAAGAGAAAATAGGTTTGTTTTTAAGGAAGGAGGTAAGATACAGTTCTGGAAAAAAGCATTATCCGTTTTCATTATTTAGTGTTGTAATAACACAAGACATTTTACTGTTTTGAATGCCATGCAAATATCATAACAAAAAAATTCTATTCCTAGGGTATCAAAAGCAAAAATACGCTTCTGTGAAGTGGAATGGGCTTTCTTAGTAATTAATTGTAGGTGCTGTTTCAATTGTTCATAAGTCTGGTTTTAGGATTATGGAAGATGACTCCTGAATGATATCCATGAAAGAGGGATCAAAGAGGACCTAGGGAAATGGGCTTAGGTTATAACTTGATCAAGGTCTAGAATGAGGTTCCTTTTGATCCAATAGGGGATGTGACCTCATCCCTAGCCTCTGAGGCATATCTGCAAGACCAGACCACACCAAATCACTGCCTAGAGCAACAGACAAAGAAGCCAGGCTTCTCTGCTTAAAGATAGAGAGCATCTTTCCAGTTAAATAAAAGTTGGTGACCTCATGTCAATACTCAAAACTTCTCTTGGTTATTTCCAATAAAATAATGTGGAACACAAAAGCCTCCAACCCACTGAAGGTGTGAATGTATCTTAAGGAAACTGAGTATAGCAGAGAAATCATAGGAGATGGAAAAGAGGAAAAGGGATACATGATTTGTAAGATGTTTGCAAGATGCTCAGGAAATATATTGCATTCGCTGTTGATGCCTTAGAGCTCCCACTTCTCAAGAATGAAGGTGAAGCAGTAGGATGGGCCTCTGTGAGGACACTGGGTTCTTCTACCTTCCTTCGCTTTCCTCTCGTCCGCCCATCTTCCTCCTTAGTCGTTCACCTATTGATTCACCCACTGACTAACTTAGTCTTTATTTGATGATTTCTAAGGGCCAGAAGCCAAGCTGGGTACTGGGAATAAGTGGAGGAGAAGTGAAACTTGTCACTGCACTCACTAAGTGTATGGTTTTCTAGAAAAAAAAGAAAAGACATTTAATAAAAAGTAGCCACACACCCCTGTGGTATGGGAGCATACAGGTATACTCATCAAGTGAAAGTTCCAGGAGAAGCCTTCATGAGGAACTAAAATTTTAAACTTAGATTTAAAGTGTGATGAGAAAAGAAAGAGGGCTGGAGTGGGGGGGGGGCAGTGTGTGGGGAATGACCCAGGCAAAGGGAACAGCATGTTTCAAAGCCTGTAAGTAAGAAAATCAATGAAGACAATGATATGTTGATACAATGATATTCAGATTTCTTCCAGCTTTGTAACTTCTCCACCAGATGTTATTTTGTTTCCCTATCCTTTTTGCCATTTGTTTTTTCATGAAGCAATAGAACACTAAGAAAAAAGCATTCAAGGGAGTTAACTTCTCTCAGAGACAAGAAAGTCATAGAAAAACGAGAATTAACTTTTATTTGACAGCTGGCTGGGATTGCGAATGAAACTGAGGGATTACAGGTGGTGATGGTTGGAAGAGGGTAGCAAACATCATGGAGGAAATAAGGAGAACACTGGGATTTTTTTTGTGGCTACTCATACTATCTTCCAATCCCCCAAAGCCCCAAAAAGAATGGATTTTAGAAGAGGAAGAGGGTAGAGAAATAGTAAGTACTCACTTCAGATGACAATTAAATTTTATCTCATGTGCCAACTCCCTTCAAGTGGTTGCTCTGAGCTTGGAACATCAAATTGAGAAGTACTCTGAGGTCTGAGGTTAGCAGGAAAGAGTACAGAGACCAAACAGCCCTCATTATGGAAGTGGGGCAAGGCAGCAAGCGTGTGTGTGTGTTTGCTAGTCTAATCCAGACCACTGTAGGCACCTCATCTGAGCTGATTAACTCAGTGTGCTGCTGAATTTTTCTCTATCAGCTGCTCATTTAAAGAACTCTGCCAGTATGAAGTACTGCTCTTATTAAGTTGGAATAATATAATGGAAGGAGCAACAGAGAGGAACAAGTTCTACCTCTGGCTCTACTACTGTTTCACTGAGTGTTCTAGGGAAATCCTCTGAGCCTCAGATTTCTCACCCACAAATTCTGTAAGTATATTACTGATTCTAGATTTGATCACCCCTACCTGGTCATCTTAATGTCAGATCAGAAGGCTCTGGAAGGGTGCTGTGGAGCATGATGTGTTTCCTACCGGACCACTCCCTGATTCTCAGGGGCACCACCCTAGACCATGATTAATGTGTTCATTTTTTAAATGATCCAATTTATTGGGGAAATAAAACATTTAAAACTGACTTTCAAAACGGGTCATCTGACTTAGATACTAAGAATCAAGACACAAATAAGGAATTTTTCAAGTATCCTTGTTTCTAGAAAGACCTTCATTCATTCTGCTGAGATCATTCATTCAATCAAGGGAAGTTCATGCTCATGTGTGATTTTAAGTATCTGGGGTGAGTGAAGAACACGAATGGTTAACTTTAAATTTGGACTTAGTCTTTCTCATTATTTATAAGTTTATGCCAAATGATTCTGTAGTTTTGATTGACTGATTGATTGATTGATTGACTTTTACCTCTTTGTATATTCCAGTGCATTCGTAGTAATCCCTGGAAGGGAGGCCAAGTCGAGGTTGGTCAATCTATAAAAAAATATATACAAAGAAGAAAATAAACCATTCAGTTAATATGGAACAATTGGGCAAAATACAAGCATGGCTATTCATGGATGAGCAAGATCCTACTGTTCTTGCTGTTTATAAGGGTAACAATCAGACACCGAGTAAATGCAAATTAGGAAATGGTTTCCACACTATTTGGAAGTGTTAAACTGATGGGTAGTTAATCTAGAAGAGTGTGCTGCAGATATTTGGGGAAAACCAAAGAAAGCTTGAATGAAAAATATTCTGGGAAGAATTTTTAATGTGAAACAGAAGGTACAGGTGAACAATAACATGTTAGAATCTAGGACAAGGGAGTTTCTAAGTTACATATTTACAGGACAGTCAGGCCTGAGGAACACTTTCTTTTACTCCAACCCTTAATTGGGATGGGAAAAAATAGGTGGAAAACCTCTATGGTAACACTGGAACTTCTCAGCTAGTGGAAATCTTGCCAGAGATAATTTTTGAGATCCCCTGCCCTACGGGGTTGGAGAAAACTCCTCTTCCATTCTCTCCTGCTCTGCTCAGGTCTTCAGCAGACCCAGCTGCCCCCTGGGTGTGTGGAAAAGGAAACTCAGCTCTGCTCAAGCATGTCTGGTCCACTTTCAGCATCCAGTGGAAACTAACTGGATATATTCAGAGCTTTGTGAGATTGCTGTGATTACTGTGCACTGCATGGTAAGATGGGTACAGGGGCATCATCAGTGGTTAGAGTGAGAAGCCTAGCAGCTGTAAAGAGCCTAGGCCAATACAAAAGAAGCAGAACCCAGAAGATCAGAACAGAAAGAGCCAGAAGGCATCTCTACAGGAAGGGCCTTACTCCTTCTCTAACCTCCCAGCCCTTTATGGGAAATCTTCCTCACGGTGATCATACAGAATGCTGATATTTGAAAGCCAAAGGAGAGAATTTCAGAAGAAGGAAAAGAAGGCCACAACAGAAGAGAGCTGGATTCAATCCTTTTCATGATTTTAATAAAAATGACCATAAAGATTAATGCAGCAGTGACATAAACATAGTTCTGTGACCTGCAACTTTTGGTTTTGTTTCTTTTCCAGGAGACCAAAGACCAACAGCTCTATACATTTCTAGTCCATCCCAGGTGTACTCATAAAATATTAACCTCCTCATAGGTGAATCCTTAGGTAAACCTAAATGAATGGTTCACATCAAAATAAAAAAAAAAGCAATAAAGCTAGTTTAAAAGAATGACATTTATTTACCTTAATTGAGAAAAAAGGTAAAGGTATTCTTTGGTGAGAACCAAAATTATGTTCTCAATATGTTCTTTTTGGAAGCACTCAGGAACTTCCTGACCTGGTTCCAGACCTGCATTACTTATGTAAATGCAACCATGCTCCTTTCCTGAACACACAGAGAAACTGGGTGCATTTTCTAAATAGGAGCCCTTTCATTTCTTTAATTTATTTTATGAAGGGAGTGGTATCTAAAACAAACATAGCAGAAGGAAGAGATGAATGTCTCAAACAAGGCATCAACAAATACTTTCAAAATTGGGAATCCAGGTGTCAGGGACAGAGAATATATTTATTACTATCTTGCTTATGCAGTTCAACTGAGAATTTGCATTACTTCTCAACAGGAGTACCAACAACGTGTGTGGAAGTTTTATTACAATTTAAAGATAAGTTGGGCTATGGGCCACACAAACTTACATGAATTACATGGTTCACAGAATTCTTATCGTCAGTGCCAACAAAAAAACTAATTATGACTTTTTTCCCATATTTGGAATTCAGTTGTGCAATAGATTTCTCAGCTGTCCACGAAGTACCTAAAGCAATGAAAGGGGAAGTATATCTTTAGAAGCCTTAGTGATTAATATGATACTATAATAATAACATAGGTTTCACATGGAAATTATTTTTTTTAAAAAGAAGTAAATTTGTCTTACCATATGTTTGCTCCCAGTTTTTTGTTGCTACTGGCCAATCATATATATCTGGTAACAGTTTGAGTAGAGGTGCTCCACCTCTGCTATCAATAGCAGCTTTTGAAAACAATGAACAATTCATTATGAAGATTTTGCATATTTTGATGTACTCTTAATGAAATAAAATGAAGAGCACTTACATTCATTCAGACAAGATCTGTACAATGTTTTTGCTTTCTGCACTGCTATTATGTCTTCAGTTTTGGGTTCCTGCAGGACATCTGAAATAGGGCGTTTAATAAAATACATCAACATAATCGCTCCTTTGAGGGATTAACATTTTAAATGCAAGTTCCATTAAAAAGCTTGCTTTTTTTTGTATCTAAGTTCTCTCCCTTCCCATTCCAAAACCAACCCCTTACCAGACCATTATTCCTAGTGCCGAACTGGGAGGCAGTTAGCTTCATTAGCCAAATTAAATGAAAGTCTTTTTAAGTATATTATCTTTTTTTTGTGTGTGTGTGAACAGTAATATGTGCTTCTCTGCCATAAATAGTTATTTTTTTAATTGAGATTGAAATAATAGTACACAGGAATTTGGAATTTAATATCATAGTCTTCTTGATGGCTGGAAAATAATTATCTTAGTGTGACTGTACTGTTCTTGCTCCAAATAATTGAATGAATTGTTCTTCTTGTTTTGATGTTAGAAAGTAGCAAAAATTGTTTTTCTACAAACTAATTTCTAGAAGAGGGGAATAGAGGTCGGAAGATAGAGGACTAGACATGACTTTTTTCAACTTCCCAGGGACAGTGTCTTAGCTGGGTAGAATAATACACTAACTCTGGGAAGACAAATCTTAGGAACATTGGAGCAACTTCAACACAGGGCCAGGGTAGGAAGACCATGGAGATGGTGTTCAGTGGCAATCATTTAGTTTCTTCTGTAAAATGCATAAGAATGCAGTCTCTAGCAGTGATAGAGCCTTACCTACTAATGAATGCAGGCATGCTAAGAGATGCCCATGTATCTGTTTCGGGGTCTACCACTCTCAGTGTGGCTAAGTCATGGTCCACAAGACTTGGAGGGATTGTCATATTCTCTCTTTCATGAAATTCCCTCTAATGACTGAGTTGTATCTTGAAATATAGGTATATTAAGAGAAAAATCTTTGATGCATAGACACAAACTCCACTAACCTTTCAAAATGACTTCTAATTCATCTCTTAAAATGTCAAAGTTGCTATAACGGGAGCTGGTCTCAGGAATGATGTTGTGTTTCAACCAGCCTCCACAGGCATATTTGAAAAAGTCTGTACAAGGCTCAACAGTGGCATCCATGTTCTGGATCAGGCGAGCAGCTGCAAGGGCAGAGAAAGGACAAGAGGAAATGAAGTGTGTATTTCTGAAGTAATTTGGAGAGGGGAAACAAGACATGCTCCTTCTCCTTTATGATCAAGTCAACTGAACTGATGTTCCTTTTCCTTACTTACATAACTGTTGATTCAGGTGAAATGATGAATACTCTGTGTATAATATTTTTCTTTATTCCTTTCCTTTATTATAATTGGTTGGTCTTATTCCTGAGGTCTAGGTCCTTCCATCCTACATCTCACCCCCTCCTCCAAATAACAGGCTCTTGCTAGATTCTATCTCAGATGAAATAAAGAATATAGGTCTTCTTTGGCTGTCCTAGGCCTGGGGTTAACACAAGTTCACTCCGATCATTTTAGCTGCTGACTCTGCTCTTCAAGGTACTGGGACTATTAAATGTCTTGGAGACTCTAAGCGATGTGAGATTGTCAGTGGATTTTATCGTTTTGGTAAAGATCTGAAGCAACAGTTATTACTTCTTGGACCTCACTTACAAAATAGTTGCAATTCAGGTTTGACGTCTGACTTGAATTTGTTTATGTAGAGTCTGTCTTCATAAAGCTAGTTAGTTGTTCTTTTGTGCACTCTTACCTTTGAGAACCATGATAAAAACGCAAATCAACCAACATTGAGTATTTACAATGCACAAAACCCTGGCTCTGCTAGGTGCTGCACTTGATAGAAAGCAGCAAGAAATGTGAATCATCACCATTGAAGAGAGGAAAGTGACGTACAGCAGGCCGAATGATTACAATTTCTACACCTGGAACAGTGAGAAAGCCCTCCTGCTGCCCTCCCCATGTTCATTCTCATACAAGTCGAACTGTTTTGCAATGAAGCAAAAGAGCGATTGAGAATTCATCTGTATCATGAGAGTATAAGTCCTCAAAAGAGCTTTAGAAAAATACTTCACTTTCTGAATTAATTAATTAAACACTTGGAACAACTGCTGAGCTGTGTAGATTTTTTTTCAGCTTGGGGGGAATGGTAAATCTGTGTTCCAGCTGAGCCAGTTCTAAGCACCTCCTGGACATGTCTGCTCGGCTACCATTTCAGGCTCCATCTTTTTTAATGCTAAACTCTCTGGGTTGCCTCCATAGCAGTCCTCTCTGGACTTTTATACTTCAGTATAATGCACAGACATTACTACAGTCTCTCAGGTTTGAACTGGGGTAAAACTCTGCATTTCTCCCTCCCCTTTGGGCCTGTCAGGAACTCTTTTGCCTCTTTTCTGTACTCTTTCCATGATCAGTGTCAATCTAGGTAACATCATTATTCTCTTTTGACTAGAAATCACCCAGCCAATCCATTTTGCTAGTACTGTCTTCCTACTTTTATACATTCTGCATATCATTCACCATATAAACTTCACCAAAAAACCCTTTTGCACTGGCCACACACCCTTGCTCAAAAAATGTGAGTGACTTGACATTTCCCACGTTAAATTACAAACTGTTTAGTTGGCCTCTAAATCTTTCCTGATTTAGAATATTTAGAATAAAAATATTGTCCCTTTTTCCCCCCTCTCTGTTTTTATACAATGTCTCCGCTCCAACCAGATGTACCACTCCACGTGCCACAAACACTGCTGTGATTTCCCACCCTGTGCCTTTGCCTCTGGCCCCCTGGACCTACCCTTTTAACTCCTAGTTCTGTTCCTCCCAAATTATAGCCAGTATTCAAGGCTTAGCCGTGTCCTATCTCTTCCCTGAAGCTCCCAACTCCAAACTTCAGAGAATAGTTCCTTCTCCGAACTCCTGAGAGATCAGTGCCTCACTTAGTCTTTACTGTTTAGATGAGGCTACCTTGGGTTTCTCCTGGTGGGTACCTACTCTGTCTCTAACATTCTGTGGATGTACTTAACCTCTTCATATTCCCATTACCTAGCACCTCAGTAAAAGGCATGCGGTTATGTGCATGTGTGATGATGTTACTGAATCATCTAGGAGTCCTTTCACCCCGCCTTCCTCCCCCTTCCCCCTTCCCCTCCCCCTCCCCTGCTCCTGTAGGTCAGGCCAGTTCTCATTTCATGGCCTCCAGAGTCCATCCCATCCACCTAATCCCTACCTTTTCCATTCTATCTCATTCCTCCTTCTCTCCGGCTCTATTTGTACCCTTTCACCCAAGCTATGGCCCCAGGCCTCCCCCTACTCCAATCCATCCCGTGTGCCAGACAGATTAGTGTTGTCATAACATTTCAGCATGCCACTTTTCACTCCAAGATTCTCAATATAAACTGTCTGCAGTCATAATAAAATCCATATTCCACACCATATTCTAACCTGAATACATCTAGTGAATAGATACTCTCTTTCACTACTTTCTTACTTGTGCCATCTGCCCAAATTACATGAATGTATTTAGTTTCTACTGTGAAACACCTTATAGTTCTCTGCTTCTGTAAATTTGACCATGTTGCCTTAACTCTTACTAAAATATCCTTTATTTATTCACATTTAGGAATTCAAGGCATTTTCAAGGCTGAGCTCAAATCCTCCTTCTTCATGAAGAACTATCCTTACAAAACCCACATCAGTTAGCGTCATATTCAATTTTTTGTTGGAAAATCCATTATCTCCTCACACGGACTGTGGTTCTGGTAAAGGAAGGAAGACATTTTTCTTGTCTTTCACAGAGCTTGATGTTATGCTCAATCAAGACTTCTCACTAAAAACTCTAACTTGAAGCCTCATGTAAAGATTCAGAAATTGATCTTTAAAAGGTAGAGAGAAAAAGTAATTCCCTTGAACTCTGAAGGAAATGAAGATATGATGATAGGGAAGTGAAAATAAAGACCCTAAATACATAGAGGATTATCACATAGAGTGAAAAACCAGAGAATTGGAATCTGAGAGAAGTGCTAACTAAAGATGCTCTAAGCATACATTTTCAGCAGTTTTAGGTAACTCTTGTCTTTTAAAATACTTTTAAAAATTTAAATAGAATGTTGTAAAGGGAACTGTCATTTTAGAAGCACTTCTATTTTCTTTCTCTCACTGGGGAAATGGTTGGTTTATGTCCCAGCATCACAAAGAACAATAAACTCCTTAGTTGGGATGCTTAGGATCCACCCTGGATCAAGGAGCAAGTAGAATGAACAAGGAGAGTAATGAACAAGTCCACTGGAAATACCACGTGCCTAGATCTATGATCACAAGGGGAAATCCACGCCATGGGAATGCCATCTGCACTCCTCCATTGCCCACAAGGGAAAAAGATGGTCCCTCCCCTCTCAGGTTGAATGCCTTACTTGACACCCAGTTAAACTACTTACATCTGGACCACAAACCAAAGAAACAGAATCCAAACAATTTGTGACGGACATGCAGGCAAGTGACAGGAAAAGGCAACCTTGCCAACTTCTTCCGGTGCCACTTCTAGCGTTTCCCTTTGACCTGAGAGCTCATCGGAGGAGGGTGCCGCCAATCACTTCAAAGAGAGCCCTCTGTTCTGATGACTATTTTGGGGCCATGGGCCAAGGCAAGTCACAGGCTTGCACTTTTATGCTGGGTCTTTGATCAACCTTCCTTTAATCTCTTATCGTGGGTTTAATTTTCATTTTGCACCTTATCCTCCGGACCTCCTCTGTGCTGACTTTTCTTTGAAGTCAGCGGTAGACTCGTGGGTAGAAAGGCAGTAGGAAACAGACGCGCGACTGTCAAACTGGTTGTAATTGTTTTTATGTTTTGCACTTTGTTTTGAATTACTCAGTCTTTCCACATAACCACACCTGGGCTCTTCAGATGTTTCCTTATCTGTGGGTTTCTGACTTCTGATTAAACAAGTGTGGTTTAAAAACAAATAAAATTATTCACCTTAATAATTAGATATAAAAAATGATACAGTAAAGGCAAATGTATTGACATGGAATGCTGTTGCCCAGATGTTTATAAAATGAAAGAGAGAGCAAATTATGATTTTTAAAAATCTGTATAAAAACACAGCAAGTCTAAAAGGCATTTACAGTAGTTATAGCTGGATGGAGGGATTATGAGTGTGTTTAATTTTGTATTATCTGCTTATCTTTATTTTCTAATTCATATTAGATGAGCATTCATTGCTTCTGCAATAAGAAAAAAAGTATTTTTAATTTAAAAAAACAGTCACATAAAGGCAAGAAAAGTAATCTATTAATAATGAGCTTATTTCTTATGAATGACAATTCTGAATGTTCTAGGCTGATAGCAAATGACACACCGTTTTTTTCCTAACTAATCTTCTTGTAACATTCTCCCAACTTATTTGACTACAGGAATTTAAAAACAAGCTCAACCACCATCTGAGAAATTATTAATTACTTTATTCATTACCAAGGTCTGCTGTATGGATCTGAATAGGAGGTTCTGTGTAAGCTGGGAATATGTTTGGGGTGCCTAAATCAGGCAGTCTTGTTTTGAATCCCTGAGTGCCTCCACTTTTGAGTTATACAAGATTAAGTAATTTTCCCAAGATCAGGCAGCTAATAAATCATGGAGCCCCAGTCCTTGCACTTCGGTGTGCGTGGCTTTGAGCTCACCCTCTTCCCGCCATGCTTTGGACACAGGGGACGGGAGTCTATGAGAGGCAGTGACTTCCATGCTCTCCTTTCCCACTCCTTATCAATAACCCTTTACTTTCCTCTTGCCCAGCCCTCTTCTTGACTTCCTCTCCTTCATGCCACTCTATAGCTGCAGCTTCCCTCCTTCTCCATGTCAACCTTATCCCCAGCAAGTAGTGGTGAGTCAAAAGCATGAGAAAGCATCAGAACTTGGAGGGTCTGTAAGTGGCCAGAAAGAAGGAAAGGAGAAAAATCAGGTTAATTCTTCCCAGTGGGCAAAGCAGATAGGAAAGTGGAATGAAGGCCGTTCGTACTCAAAAGTATATCTAATTGCACATCTTCTTGAGGTGGAACATGTAGATGGAGTCCTACCTAACCTATCTTTGGATAGAATACACTCTATTACATGAATGAAAATCTCAGTGATAAGTTTGAGAGCAGTACTTTTCA